GGCCCTCCCCTGCATACGCACGGCTCCTTCTGGGTGTTTATGGCATGTTCATCTCTGTACCCACTCTCCACACGCAAGGATCACGTGTGGCCCTGTTTGCTTCAGACTGTATGCGTGTGAACAAATGAAGTTACCACAGGCTTCTGTGTGAAGTGCTGGGGAGGGAGCCCAGGGCCTTGCGCTGGGTTCCCAGTCCCTTTTTCCCTCCCCTCCCACATGTGACTCCTCTTCTGTGGTGGATACAACCTTTTCATCTGCAGTGGCAATCTTTCCTACAAAGGTATGTGGCTGAAAACACTGAATTTTGTGTATTCCTAAATAGTTATAATATGCTTAATGCATCCTTTTTCTACCTTTTTGATCCATCCTCTCTTGCTCCCCCTCCCCTGGTCCCCTTCCTCTTCCCTAATAGTCTCCCTTTTACTTTCATTCTTTTAAAAAAAAAAGTCTTTATTCCACATATGAGAGAAAACATTATACTTGTCTTTCTGGGTCTGGCTTATTTTGCTTAACACAATTTCCCATTCCATCCTTTTTCCTGCAAATGATATGATTTTGCTTTTCTTTATGACTGAATAATACTCCATTGCGTATATATACCACCTTTTCTTTACCCATTCATCCATTGATAGGCTCCTAGGCTCATTCCATAACTTGGCTGATGGCAGTTGTGACACGACACAATAAACATAGGTGTGCAGATATCTCTATTGTATGCTGACTTTGGTTCCTTGGGATATGTGCCCAAGAGTGGTATAGGATTATATGGTAGTTCTAATTTTAGTTTTTTGATAGGCCTCCATGTAGGTTTCCATAGTGGCCGCACTAACGTACATTCCTAACAGTGTATGAGCGTTCCTTCATCCTCCGTGTTCTCTCCATCACTTGTTGGTTTTCTTGGTGATCACCCTTCTGGCTGGGGTGAGGTGGAATCCCAGTGGTTTTGAAACTCACCTTCTTCGGTGGTCTAAGCAGAATAAGAATGTCTGCTCAGACATGATAAAAGCGAGAGCACACAAGGGAGGGGTGAGGATAGGTAAGACACCTAAAAAATTAGCTAGAATTTGTTGCCCTTAACGCAGAGAAACTAAAGCAGATACCTGAAAAGCAACTGAGGCCAATAGGAAAAGGGGACCAGGAACTAGAGAAAAGGTGAGATCAAAAAAAGAATTAACCTAGCAGGTAACACACACGCACAGGAAATCAATGTGAGTCAACTCCCTGTATAGCTATCCTTATCTCAACCAGCAAAAACCCTTGTTCCTTCCTATTATGGCTTATACTCTCTCTTCAACCAAATTAGAAATAAGGGCAAAATAGTTTCTGCTGGGTATTGAGGGGGTGGGGGGGAGAGGGAGGGGGCGGAGTGGGTGGTAAGGGAGGGGGTGGGGGCAGGGGAGAGAAATGACCCAAGCCTTGTATGCACATATGAATAATAAAATTAAAAAAAAAAAAGAATATCTGCTCAGCACAGCTGTCTCTGATCAAGTGTACCTGGGTGGCTTCTCCCAGGAATGCAGCAGTTCCCCTCACAATACAGAGAGGGAAAAGAAAAGGAGTAACAAGAAAGTTTTGTCAGCAAGGTGCTCCAGGTTGAGAATTCAGACATTAAAACAGATACGTGATGCTGGCAAAGGCAGTGGTCTCAGGAGAGAGAAGCGGGGGGGAGGAAGTTGGTTAGAACAGGAAGAGGGGAGTCTCTTTCCAGGATTCCATCCTGTGGCATTTGTGGCTGTGTTGTCATTGGCCCTCCAGCGTGAACCTCACCAACGACAACAACCCTGTTTAGAGGCTCCTTTGTGTGCCTTTGTGTCTGGAAAACACAAAGAACCAAGTGTCATTTCATTGCTTGGACCTTTGCTGACTGTGTAAAGAAGTTGCTTCTGAAACAGAAGAAATCCTCAGGGTTGATGGGTTCCTCCTTGTGAGGACCTGGCCTTGGTGGCTTCTCCATGGCATGCTGGCTGCTGCCAGAGTCCCTTGCTAGCCTCATGAAGGGATCTTCTCATGAGGTCGGCTCTTGTCCCCTGCATCTGGTGGCTGAAGCCCCCCGGGGGGTGTAGGGTCTGATTGGGGAGGAGGGAGAAGTGATTCTTAGGATTAGAATTCAGAAGGGAAGTGGTGGAGGGATGCAAGAGGGCTGGGATCTAGAAATGAGTGAGGGAATCTCTTCGTAGGTCTCCTGGCCATTCCCCAGCTGACAGGGGGCACCCAAGTTGTACCCCTGGATTGACAGACTGACTCCAACACTTTTTCTTTGGCTGTGAGACTGGACATTGTGAGGCCCTGTGAAACCACTGTCGTCCCCCAAGGAACCCCCAGGCTGTCTTCTTCCTAATGTGTGCTCAGCCCTGTCTGGGTGGAAGGGTCTTCTGTCTGTCTGAAAGGGATCTGGAGGAGGACACATGGGGTTTGAACCCCAACTGGCCACCTACCAACTGTGTGACCTCTGGCATGTGGTTCACCCTCTCTGGACCTTGGTTTCGGGGTAATTATAATATTCCTTCATTGTATCATAATATTATATGTTATATAAAATTATAATATTTGCTTGAAAGTATACGAGATCATGATAATATATATATAAGTATTTTTCATAACACCATTGTAACACTAGCTGTGTGTCATGTGTTAACATAATATAACAGCCTATCTTATAAGGTTACTTTAGGACTTAGGTTTATGTAGGTGTTGGCATAGCCCTACTGAATCACTGTTTAATTTTTTGTGATAACATTGGGTGTGCCCTCTGTGGATTGAAACCAGGGCACCTTTATCCAAAATGTTCTGAAATATATTGTTGCTTTGGAAGCAGTGCAGCTCATCAAATAATAATTAGGACATCAAATATACACCCCAAAAATAACCTGGGAGAAGTATTGTTGAAATCCAGTGTTTCTGTTCTAAGGCAGAAATTCCTTTTCAGAAGAACTTAGGCCATGGTGTTCCTAACAGAGAAGAGTGTTAACTCTGCGCAGCCACCCACGTGTTCTCTGTCTGTCTCCAGACGTTATTGCCTGGCTTGTGTGGTACCCGTGGGTGAGGAGGAGGTGAGCAGGAAGGACCTGGGACAGAGGCATGTGTGGCAGGAGTTCCCACAGGCGGTGGCTGAGTTGCCTGTCACACCTGCATCACTGCGTCCTTGCTTGGATGCTGTTCTTGGAGCCAGGCTGTGGAAGGGAAGGAGGGTGACATGCTGACATCTGGTGAGAATTGGCCAGTGACAGCAGTGGAGGCTGAGTCCTTGTGTCATCCTGACTCAGCACAGTGGGCCTTAGCCCCCCTGGTTTTGCACACAGGAAAACTGAAGTTCAAGAAGTTAATCTCATGTTTGGATCACACACCTCGGGGTGAGAGGTCAGGCGGGGATCAGAATCCTGATTTCTGTAAGGAAAGGGGGTTGGAGGGTGAATATGATGGAAATATTTTGTACCACATGTATGTAAATGGAAAAATGAAACCTGTTGAAATTATTCCAGGAAAGGGGGATAAAGGAGAATGACAGAGGGGGTGCATTCAGCTATGATACACTGTAAGAACTTTTGTAAATATCACAGTGTACCCCCACTACAACAATAATAAAAAAATTTTTAATTTAATTTAATTACAAAAATAAATAAAAGTAAAAAAAAAAAAAGAATCCTGATTTCACCTGTGTGGTCATAATTCAGTTACTTAATAGCCCTTGGTCTCAGGGGTTTCTGTTTTTGTCTTTCTCGGTGCTAGAGATCGAACCCAAGGCCTCACTCATGCTGTGCAAGTGCTCTACCACTGAGCTGAGGCCCCAGCTGCTCAGTTTTCTTATTCATTCAATGGGTATAGTAATGGCGGGAGTCCGTGGAGTTATCTGTGTCAAATGTTAGCACATGCTTTTGTGAGCAGTCAATACCTGTTTGCCGCAGTTATTATTGTATTTCTCATTGTTTGCACTATTGTATTTATCTCTTTCATATGGTACAACCAAGATAGTTATCCAGGTCTGACATGCTGCACAGGCTGGGCTCTGGTCCCTGGGTGCTGTCTGCTTGCATCATTGCTGATACAGCAAAGAGCTCAAGGCAAAGGTGGTAGCCACGTACCCAGTAGCACCTTTTGGGACTTCAGTGATTAAGGCCTCAGGAAAAGCCTAGGGTGGACCTCTTTCAGGGTTGCTTCTCAGCTAACCTGAGATCTGAGTATCTATATTGACAGGCATTACATTTTGAGGTAGAGGGAGAATTTATCACTTCATATAAGCATCGGGAAAAGTAACCCCCAAATGTAAGTCCCTTTGCAAGACAGAAATCAGGTGCTTCGGAGCTCCTATAATGCCCACACTACTTCTAAAGAGATGGATTCATGCTAAGCTTCCTGGGGGAGGGGACAAGTGTGGACTTGTTTGGCAGGGGTGACATATCCTATCGCTTATGCCTTTAAAAACCTGGGGCTCAGGCTGGGCATGGTGGTGCCCAGCTGGAATCCCATGTATTCAGGAGGCAGAGGTAGCAGAATCATAGTCTGAGGCTAACCCAGGCAAAAGTGTGAGATCCTGTATGAAAAACAAACTAAAAAGGGCTGGTGGTGTGGCTCAATTGATAAGAGCCCCTGCCTAGCACTGGCAAGGCCCTGAGTTCAAGCCCCAGCACCATCAAAACAAAAACACCCTGGGGCTTGCATGGCCATCATGGGAGATGTTAGGATTCCCTCGTGTGTGTACAGCGAGGGAAAGTTCCAGGCTGAGCCAAAGCCATAAACATCACCTGATGACAGCCACTGGGAGTTGTTTTCGTGTGAGAAATGAAGGCAGACGGGGAGTTTGGTCTGACTCTTTGGTTGCACCTGGGTCGCACTGCAGGCTTTGTTTTATTTTTCTGGGTAAAAGGTTGACTATGTTATGGGCCACTAGGCCTTCTTCCTGGGAGATTGGGCCACCTCTCCTCGTGGCCTTCTTTTTGATAAGCAGTGACTTCCTCTAATCACCTAACGTGATTGACAAATGCGGTGTCCTTTTCCTCCTCCAGGCCTAAGCGACAGCGGCAGAACCACACTCCCGTGTTTCCCTCTCCCAAGACCTGGAACTTCAGAGGGGTAAGTATGTGACCTGGTGCCCTGTGGTAAATGTCCAGTTCAGGTGACACTCTGGCATCCAGAGAGGACACTGTTTTTGGGTTTGCATAACTAATAAAGTTTCCACCTAGACAGTATCCTGTCACTGCCTCACCCCTGGGGGATGCCACCCTGCATGGCGGTGGTGGCTTAAGTGGCCCAGCAAGCATCTGCTGTCATTGCCTGCTCCAAACATTGTGGGTGTCTTTAAAGAAGCCAAGGCGTTGAGGTTGGTGAGGTGGGCCCTGGGCTGCTGTCCTTGAACCTGGAAGGAAAAAGAAGGGGATGCACAGTCTGTTACAGTGTGGATTTGTGCCTTCCAGGGGACCTTGCTTTCCAGAAGTCTGTAATCTTGATGCAGACTTTACAGGGAACCCTCAAATTCTGCCAGGAGGGCAGAGGGATCAGGTGGAGCTCCTGACATGAGGTGGTCTCCTGTGACGTAATTGTGATGATAACAGTAACAGTCACAGTGCATGGAGGTTCTACTGTGTGCTAAAGTAAGATCTCACACTGACCTGGAGGAAAATCCCTTCTGTCTGAGAAAGTGCTCAGAGCTAAGTCACCTCCAGACCTACCCAGACACTGTCTTCCTTGCCCGCCCTGCACTCCTGCACATGCTGCTACTGGCCCACCCACTTCATCCACAGGATCTGAGTTTTGGTATCAGCTCTTCTAGAAAGTTGTCATAACCGCCTCTCTAAGGCCCTTCCCAAGAACCCCAATACTTTTTTTTTTTAATCATTGTGCTTAGTTACCATATACTGAAATTTGAGATTGGAAGTTCCATGCTGAAGGTATATAGAATGCACAGTGATACATGCCTGTAATCCCAGCTACCCAGAAGGTGGAGGTAGGAGGTGGGGTAGCAATTTGGGGTAAGCCTATATAGCAAGATTCCGTCTCAAAAAAAAAACAAAAACAAAAACAACAAATAAAAAAAGAGAAAGGGATGAGGGGGAGAAAAAAAACAGTTTTGCAAATTTTTAGCACAATTTACAACAATTCTTGTTTGTAAAATTTGTTGCTCAGAGGAACCTGGTAGGTACATACTTGCTTTAATTTGTTTGCCTCATTCTTGCCAAATTTACAATAACAGTAATATTTAAAATTAGTAATTCACTGAAGGGGAAAATCTGCCCCTAGCTAATTACAGTGGTAGAGGGTCGAACTCTAAGGTAGTGTTGATTTCAGGTTCCTATCAACTTCTTAGCAGCTCACAAGAACTTCTCAGATGGGGTTGATCATTAATCCTGTGATCCCAGCACTTGGGAGGCTCAGGCAGGAGGATTGCACGTTCAAGGCCAACCTGGGCTACATAGTGAGACCGTGTCTCAAAATAGTAGATAGGGCTGGGGTGTAGCTCAGTGGTAGAGCAGTTGCCTAGTATGTGTAAGGCCCGGAGTTCAATCCCCAATGCAGCAAAAATAAATAAATTAATTAATAAGTTAATTAATTAAAAACCAGTGTTAGCTTGAATGACTAAAGTCTAGCTGCTGTGTTTATTTATATTGGTCTCACTTGCTTTGATTTCTTCTGGCCCTGGAGCTTCTTGGTGAAGCTAGAGAAGTTGGCTTTAAGAGGTTCCCGGGGGTGGGGGGATGTTGGGGGCCTGGCCAAACCCATCCTCTCACCTTGGATTAGAACCCACAGCACGTGGAAGGGAAGCTGGCCAAGTGGAAACCCTCATGCACTTGCTTTGAGGTTGTCAGGATGGTTATGGAAGCTGACGAAGGGTCCAGAATGCCAGGATGAGGCTGTTTGAGGCATATTCTGGCTGATAGGTTTTCTGTCGGAGCAGGTCTGTTGGAGCAGGCTGTTCGTGCTGTTCTCGGGCAAGGTCCTAGAACATAGCGTTTCTGTGAACACTTTGTTTCCTTCTATTTAGAAAGGAAGGTTTTAGAATCTCCGTGCTAGCAAATTTTCCATATTTATATACGTGGCAGAGAAAACCGTTCTATTATAAGCGTTCGCAATTCCATTCCTCTCTAGCTTGGAAAGAAAAAGAATCCTGTGTTTGTTCACCCAGGTCCTGCACATTTGTGGATCTGAAGGTGGGGGGCATGGGGTCACTGTGGAGAGCAATGGCTTGGAAAAGACAAGAAGAGCCATGTTGCTTTAGATGAGGGTGAAGATACAGGTGGCTAGGAGAAGCCATTTAGGGAAATGACATTTCACAATAACTTTGTTGATGGTAGTAAGTTTTGAACTCAGGGCTTCGAGCTTGCTAAGCAGGTGCTCTACCACCTGAGCCACGCCTCCAGCCCTTTATTGCTTTAGTTATTTTTTTGGATAGGGCCTGCCCTTTTTGCCCCGGTTGACCTTGGACTGCACTCTTCCTATTTATGTAGCTGGGATTACAGTTGTATATCACCACACCCAGCCAGATTTCAGAATAATTTTAAAGAAAGATTTACAGAGTGACTTTTATTGCACCTCCTCCTCACCTTCCCTGGAAACATTTATGACTACCTCCATTGGTCCTCAAAGCTTCAGGACTTGCATTTGTGGTTTTCCTTTTTGCTGGAGTTATTTGGCTGTGGAGATGGGTAGGCAGAGCTAGTGATGCTCCCATTACATGCCTCTCTATTTATAGTGTTTTAGCCCTTTTCCAGGTTGCCACTGTTCAGGTCTTCAGATGTCTTTAGCCCCACCTTCCCTGCCCTGTTCCCATGCTTGTAAGGAGATAAGGAGCTGGGTGGTTGTGATGGCCCATGATCTTTCCAGTCCCTGGAAGGAGTGATGCTACTCTTACCACCCAGTAGACTAGGGGTGCTGAGACTCATTCACTGAGAGAGCTGAGAAGGTGGTGTGGGCTGGGGAGATCTTGGAGGGAGCACTGGAAGGCAGAGTAAAATCAGAACAGAACAGGAGGCATGAGAAAGCTGGGGAGATGGGACCTGGGCGGGGGTGGGCTTGCTCCCAGACAGCTCCTCTGTCAGGTACACGCTGTACATCTGGTCCCCATCTGGCCGGGGAAGTGCTGAGCTCAGAGTTTCCATCCTTGTGAAAGTATTTTGTATAGCTTCTCCTGTTAGCAGGGAGGGAGGGAGGGAGAGAGACAGACAGACACACAACTTCAGCCACCACATTGTCGTTTTTGGAGGGACAGGATGGGCATGAATAGCCACACGTTTCCAGAGGAAAGAGAGCAGTTTTTGCTTCAAGGGTGTGCAGATGAAAGCCCAGTGTAGGACAGGTTGTCCTGGCCTGAACCATGCAGCTGTAGGCTGGCCAATCACTGCGGCCGGGAGCCAGGGTTTTGCAGGTGGCTCTGCTAGAATCACTTGAGGTGGGAAAGGGGCAGCAGCTCAGAGTAGTGGTTTGGTACTGCTCCCAAAAGAGAGTCCAGTTCCTCGACAGGCAGGAACTAATGGTGACTGCTCCCGATGGTGTCTCGTTCAAAGCAAGAGTTGAGGACTTGTCTTCTGGTAGTAGGCCTGCTCCATGCCACCTTCATTCATCCCAGGCCTGTGTCTGAAAGGAAGCTGGCAAACCTTTCACTTGTCTGAATTTCTCAAAGGTCAGTTTGAGATACTCTAAAATTCACAACTCCATGGAGTGACATCAGTGTCTATTGTGGCCTTATAACCTCTGCACTGTGAAAGAAGCCAGCAAGCTACCTCATCGGTCACACCCTCAGTTTGTATATTTACTTCTGTTTATTGAACATTGGCTCCAGACCAGGCTGTGGATTCCTGAGTGGTAGATAGTATAGTTGTCCTTGTATTTGTGGGGCGTAGTTTTAGGACCCCCCCCCTCCAGGTATCAAAGTCCCTGGATGCTCAAATCCCATGTATAAGATGGCATGATATTTGCATATAACCTACACATGTCCTCCTGTGTGCTTTGCGTCATCTGTAGGTTTGTGTAGTGTGTAATACAAAGCAAATGCTATGGAAGTAGTTGTCATACTGGATTGTTTAGAGAACAAGAGAAAACTTTGCATGGGTTCTGCACAGGTGCAGGGTTTTGGTGGTTTGGTTTTTTTTTCAAGTAATTTTGATACACAGTTGGTTGAATCCACAGACAGAGAACCCGTGGATATTGAGAGCTGATTGTTTTATTTCCATTTTAAAGATAAAGAAAGCAGGTAGCACATGAGACTCAAAAAAAAAAAAAAAAAAAGAAAACAAGGGTAAATGGCTCATTCCTGTAATCCCAGCAACTGGGGAGGTACAGATCAAGAGAATCACTGTTCTAGGCCAGCCTTGGCAAAAAGTTAGTGAGACCCCATCTCAACCCACAAGCTGGACATGGGCACACCTGTCATCCCATCTATGAAGAAGGTGTGGTAGGAAGATTACAGTGTGAGGCTACCCCAGGCAAAACATGAAACTACCTGAAAAATAACTATAACAAAATTAGAAAGGGTTGGGGGCGTGCCTAGGAAGCATGAGGCTCTGAGTTCAAAATCCCAATACTGCCAAAAAAAAAAAGGGTATGAGCCCTACAGCTGCTAACTTGCTTAAAAGTATAGTAAGTGGCAGAGTCAGCATTTGAATCCAGGACTTCTTGCACCAGGCCAAGAGAGTATGCATATTGCCTCCTTAAAACAAGGCAAGGGGTCCTGCTGAGGTGGCTCACTGCTATAATCCTAGCTACTCAGGAGGTAGAGATCAGGAGGATTGTGATTCAAGACTGGATCTGGGAAATAGCAAGACCCCATCTCAGCTAATAAAAAATCTGAGTGTAGTGGCACACAGTTATCATCCCAACTACTTGGGAAGCATGAATATGGGGATCAAAGACCGGGCCAGCCTGTGCATAAAAGCGAGACCCTATTTGAAAAATAACTAAAGCAAGAAGCACTTGGAGACATGGCTCAAGAGTAGAGTGCCTGCCTAGAAAGCAGGCACTGAACCAGGCCCTGAGTTCAAACCCCAGTACCAACAACTCCCCTCCCTCTGAAAAATGACAATATATAATTCTCAAAGGAGGTTAGACGTGAAGGGCTACAAACAAGGGAATATTTTATCTTT